CCAGCATCCGGTACAGCTCTACCTCTTACCTTCGAGTAGAGCGCCACGTTAACGGCACACTGCAGAAATAGCTTGCCACGCAGCAATTGGTAGGAATTAAAACTTTATTTTAATTACAACTGTCTACTACGCAGTTGTTACAAATAAAGATATGTAATTAGAAAATTTCGATATAGCCTAAATTGTTCTAATTATTACAAGGAATCAGCCGTACATTTATTAAAGAAATATCGACGAAAGATAACTCATCCTTTGGTTCGTCTCAACCATATCACGATAATACCAGTTATCACATATGCGACGATAAAGTTGACAAATCTGCCATAAATTGATAAATCTATATATACATATACATATAAATTAAGAATAATTTCAACTCTATTAATTTTATCTTCAGTTTTGTTATAATTTCCATTTTTATTGCAACGATCTGTCAAGCTATTTTACTGCACGCCTTGAAAATGTCAAGTAAGAATGATCACCACTCTCTTGTCTAGTCTGGAAATTTTTGCTGCAGAAAAGTAGCATATAACAGACGTTATAAAGTAGCGCAATATGCTGCTATTGTTTCTGCAACGTATATCTGGTAGATCGTGAGATGGAAACAAACGTTTTTGCACGTGTGTGAAGCTAGCGTCTTATTTTACGGAAACTCACAAACTATTGAGGGTTCTGACTTCCTTTTCAATTTAACTTCCTTCCTTTTAGTTTAAGTTTAAACAAATAGTTCTGGCCATTAAAGCCAAAAAACGCGTCAGTACAAACTGAGATGCTAGGTTTACGCATCTCACTTTTTCCTACACGAGTTCCACCACTATATCTTTTGCTTCTAGTTCTATAACAGTTCTATAAAAAGTTCTGTCATATAAAAACAAAAAATTAATTATAAGACACTCAAGACAAAATTATACAATGTAATAAGCATACCGAGTTGAGACACCAGTTGAAATCTCGGAGTTCCAGCTTATATACAATATTTTTCGTATATAGTTCTGAGCATATTGAAGCATCTTCTAAAGAGTTTTTGGCATTAACAATGTTGTATGATTTCAGAACTCCCGTCAAAACTCTCAAAAAAATTTTTTTAATTTTTGGGGTGGCACTGCCGATTTCCGGAAAAAAATTTAACCCTCGGGACTTATGTTAAAAAATTTTCGAGGTGCGCACTTACTAGTTCCTGATAATTTTTTTTTTTCCCCCAAAAAACAAAAATATTGGAAAAGTATGATTTTAAGTCAGAATAGGTCTAAGTAGCTCATTCCGAAATAAATAAATTGAAGATATATCGGAAATATATTAAAATCGAAGATTCGAATATTCACGGAGAAAGTTCGTTATACGAGTAATATTAATATAAATCTATAGCATCGATATATACGCGTATTAAAAATGCAACGATAAAATTATCGTAAATAATATCAATGAGTAAAACGCTCTTTATAGAATTGTTATAAAAGTATGATTTCGCAAAATCTGACAAATTATAACAAAACTCGTGTCCTAGGACAAAGTGAGACGCTGCGTGAACCTAGCGTCTCAGTTTGTACTGACGCGTTTTTTTTTTTTTTTTTTTTGCTTTAATGGCCAAAACTATTTGTTTAACCTATCAGGAACTCTAGAATTATTGAAAAGAAACCCAGAATTCTCAATAGTTTGTGAGTTTCCGCAAAATGAGACGCTAGCTTTATACATACACCGTTTGCACTTATAGTCCCGTGGGAGAGAGCAACATGTCTATTGTTCGAGGAACTTCGTCGAAAGAATCCAACCAATACTTTCAGCACCGTAATTATAGTCGACACAATTCATACAGCGGTTTCGACATCCCGAGGGAAAGTTTGCCCCGGTGCGGTGAGGCGAGGATAAGAAGCAGCCCTTGAACAAACGAGACGACTCACAACCTCCGAGAGGTCAAAGAGGTACATCTACTCTCTCGACGAGAGGTTGTACAAAGAAGTAAAAAGGAGAAAAACAAAAATAGTCGATCTCTTTACCAGTTTCTCTAAAAGATGAATCAAGGTTCTCCACGTGAACTCTTTTTCAACAATCAGGAAGTCATCAAAAGTTTATTGGACATGAAACCCGCGCAGAAAAGTGGACAGAGAATCTTAATAAAAAGAGTAGCTCTTAATCACATCTTAAACAGAATAAAGACGGTTCTAAAAGTTAATGAAAAGTTGCTTGAAAACTTACAATGAAAATAATTCTTCTAATCGTGAGAGAGAGAGACTAGCAAGCAGACAGTTCGCAAAACTCTCTTTATGCATAATCTCCGGCTTGAATTTGTATCTCTATCTTGGCTCTCACGTGGCCAATTTCAGAAATCCCGGAGCAGTCCACGCGTAATGTCAGTTTCCGAATTAGACGCGAGCTTGGACTTTGTATCAGGTTGGCGCGATGCTCTTGATTAAATATGGGACGATACACCAATCTCATGGGAGGAAACTACGGATCTTTCAGGAGAAAGAGAGAGAGAGAGGGGGGGGAGGAGAAGGTTGGCGGAAGGTCGACAGTGCGAAACCTCTGGTTTATTTCGAATCGATCGCCAGGCACGCTCGAGGGTGCTCGGGCTAATTCGGCTCGCATCGGCGATTCAAAACTGTTCGATTCGCAAAGTAACCACATCGCCCATCTCGTGCGATAAACACCACGAAGCTCCTTCTTCTCCCCTTCTTTCACTCTCCCTTTCACAGATGGACTCTTCCGCATATAAACGCGGTCAGAGATGCGCGAGGGTTACGTCTACCAAAAAATTTGGATCCTTCGATCAATACTGCATCTCCTCCGCGTGTTACCACCGCCAAAGACATGTAATACAAATATATTATTCCATTTTCTTGATATCTATATATAAATATTATTTCTCCTCTCTCTGCACTTCTTTATAACTTTTTTATCCTTAAAATGCATTTTTCAGAAGAATAAATTTTTCTTTATAAAGTTCTTCCTTCTTATCATTAAAAATTCTACCTCATCTCGGCAATTATGCTAAGAAAACGCTCGCGGATGACAAGTACCCGTACCACCGGTAAAAAAATAAAAAAGATAAAGCATCTTTAACAATCTCCATCCCTGGAATAAGGTTCATTATGCGAAGTAAAAGACTGGAGGTTCATCGCGGAACCAAAATAGTTGGAATCGACCACTCTGTTCCATTCTTGCGAAACTTGAAAAAACAACTAAAAAAACTATACCACGATGAATATCCGAAGAGAATCTAATCAAAATGGGTAACGTTTAATTCCCGTCAACCTCTTGTACAAATCTCAGATATCTTCGCATTCAACGAATTCCAAGGAAGATTTACACGGGTTGCGCGAAGAATTCTTCCTTATTGAGTACAAACTGTCAGGGCGTAAGCGAAAAGAATTTTATTACTATGAATTTTATTGGAACTAACTTTTCATCGATTTTATCCTAACGTCTTATACCATTAAATTTAATGGTATACATTATACAATTATATTATTCAATATTCGCGATTCATACGATTAAACTCTTAAAATACGCAGGCAGTAATACAAAAAAATCTCTATTCCATAGACAATAGAGAAATGACATTGCAAAATCAGTAACGTCTTCTAGAATTAATGCTAATATCAGTAAAACAAAAGAATTGAAGGCTCTTCGGTACATTGGAGCAAATCAATACATTTCCAATTGAGTAAGCATAGAATAATTCTTAACATTTATCGGGCAACAATTTCATCCAATTTTCTGATCGATTCACCTCGTTCTGGATAATGTTTCCCATCTCGGAGAGCGGATATGCGAGTCAGCATCCCGAATCCATATTTCCAGATTGTATTCCGTAACAACGACGCTTCTCCCGATTGCTACTGAAATTGCTGGAAGTCACGCCGATCGACGAAAAGATCTGGTTCACGATAGTGACACGAAATCGAAATCATAAAAGTAAAGGGATCGTAGATTACAAATATGACCATATCCGCCGAATTTAATCCCAACTCGACCCGTCTAGAAATATGGTATACCCCCTTTGTAATATTAAAAAATAACGGAACAAAAGAAACGGGATGGGTGTAAAAATGTTTGATTTTCCGTACGAAAAATGTAAGGAAAAAATATTTATAGAATATTTTAATGCAATTGCGCGAGTAATATAAGCAAGCAAATTTTATAAGCAATGTTAACTATATATTTATGTAAGACATTGATAATCTGATGTTGATGCTAGACATACCAAATACGGAATATCGAGAAGATGTAGAATAATTTGGGACGCAATGTTACGGATAATACTCCATATATATAAGGATCATCCTTCCCTATCGTAGAATAAATACAATAACGTTTGTCCAGTGAGAATGTTTCGCGAATTGTTCGCACGTATGCAGTTGATAAGCGCGGCTTATGAAATATTTTATTTACGGACGATGCTCTCCTTTCTACGAGAGTTTTTCCGCGGCGTGTCGCCCATTGCAAAGTATTCACAGTGCAACATCCATAATCCAAAATCGATGCACCGCTGTTTCAATGCGAGTTTAATGCCCCGTGACCGTGGTGTTACGACGACATCGGACAGCATAATCCTCGTGATTTCGAATTTAGAGGGATCGTCAATTTGGTACGTTCTCGCTCGTATATATATTCGAACAGCGATCGAGTCGATCTGCCTTTAATTTTCTATTTCTTTAGAAATGGAAACACGTAACCTTGTTACGATGAGCAAAGATAAGGGAAAAAGATAAAAAAGGAAAGAAACGAGGGCAAAGGGAAAAAAAAGCGATTGCGCCAATCTTATCGACGTGAGGCGCGAACGAGTCCATTCAAGAGAAGCGAGAGATTTCGCGCTTTTCTCTCGGTGGTGGTGATGCTGTTGGTCCGACAGGTAGTCCCGGTGGTCCATCCGTGTCCTTCAGTGCGCTGGTGGCGCGACCCCGAGTGTATCGAATCGAGGATCTTCGCAGATTTTCGGAGAGCTTCGTTCACCCACGAACAGGCTCCCGCGGGTTCTCCCGGGCTCTCGGCACCACCGCTCAGTATACTGCGTGGCAGCCTGGACCGCGGGCGGCCTGCAGCCTCCATCGACGGCGTACGGAACGCGTCGACGCGGTGCTTGCGTGCATTCGAGAACGCATACGAAAACACGCTCGTTCGCACGAACGTATACCCTTCTGCGTGTTTTGGAACGCACACACAGCATCTGCATCATCAGCGCGCGCGACACATGGTCCTCTCGTGTCCCGACCAGCATCCCCGATCACGCATGAGGTCGTGCCTTCGCTCGGGGTAATTCGATCAGTAGCACGAGCGTGGCACGAGCGCGGCACGCAACAGCGCAGTCTGGAAGTGCGGAGAAGGGACTGTCATGATCGGCCTCGAGGACTACGTGCGCCACGTCGTTATTAGCTGACTGAAGCCTATTCCAAGATCGAGCATGACGTCCAGAAACAGTAGTGGTACCAGAGAAAACCCGAAGTCGCGACGATCGGCACGTGTGACATCCTCAGCGAAATCGTAGCAGAATGTGTTAACGATATCGGTGCGCTACCGGTCAACGAGATCGGAATTATCGATTGACCGAGCAGGCAAGGTAACGAGGTCGAACCGCGAGGAATTGCGCCTTCCAAAGTGGGTCGAACCTGCGACACGCTTACTCTGCGGAGAGAGGAGAGCTGTACCATTTCGCCGTGGATGAGATCCGCGGGAGATTTGCGGCGAGCCAAGCATAGGTGCGCGCGCGCGCGCGTGTGTCGTACGCGTGCACTTGTACATGCGTGTCTATGACATAGCATAGCGCAAACCACTACGGTATGACGCGGTTCTTTGCTCCCGATAGCTAAAAGCGGGTAATATACGGTATTTGTGGCGAAAAGTGGACTCGAGACTGCGGAAAAGGGAGAGAGTGCCAAGAAAACGGATCAACGAAGATAAAAAAAGGAAAGACGGGGAGAGAAATTGCTCGTGAGAGAAGTGGAAGGAAAAGAGAGAGAGAGAGAGGGAGCAAAAGAGAAGGAGAGAGAGAGAGAGAGAGGGGCAGACAGAGAGGAGCTAGAGAGAGTAATGATCGTGAAGACGGTCGTGCGGACAAATGAACACCTCGGCACAGCGTTTGGGATATTCCAAGTAAGTAGCAATGCGCAACGCTGAGTCGTATTATGCTGCGGAAACGCTGGCTTTAATATATAGGTGTAGTTTTAAGTACTATTATTTCGGAGAACAAAATTAGTTTCTCCGTGGCAACAAACGATGCTATATAAAGTAAAGAAAATGGGGCTACGTGAGGCGTGAGGATTCGAGGCTCGACCTCGACAAATCTCTTCAACCGAATCAAAAATAGAGAGATCGATACGTCTCGTCTATCTAGCATACCAAACATGCCGAGGAAAGTTGGTAGAAGAAAACTTTCGAGAAGAAATTTTTCGAACGAGATTTTTAACTGAACCATCACTACGACTACTTGTGATGCACGTTTCTTTCTTCTTTTTCCTTTTTCTCTTTCCTTCTTTTTTTGCACTATCGCTTTACGCTCGGGAAATTTTATCGCCGGTCATTTTTCAAGCCTGGACCATCGATGGGGATCATGGAGGCTGGTAATGGATGCATGCGTACCGCCTAAGCCAGCGCATTTGGTGCGAAATCCAACACGCGGTTGGCATAGAATCGACCGATCGTGCGGCATCGGGTATACGTCGCGGATCATGCTTAACGATAGCTTTCACGCTAAAACGCTCGGAAAAAGTTCAACCAACCGTGATAAAAGAAGCAAAGAAAAGCAAAAATCCTAGACCAATATATATTACGATATATTAACGCTTGAGAAACTAAATCTGATTTAATGTATTTCATTAATTTAAACGCGTTTGATTGCTCGACGTGCGCCAATTGTTCCGTATAATTCGAAAAAAGTTTTTCTATTTTACTTTGAAATTGCGTTTGGCGGCGACGTTGGCAGCGCTGTCGATGTACTTGAAGGGTATATGACTTCGAGATTCGTCCGACCCATTTTTCAGGATTTTCCAAAGCGACCACTTCTGCGTTGTATAAAAAATACAGAGCATTTATTTTTAAGTCTTTAATTTTAATAGCACATTGACGAGGCATTTTTAACTGTCTGTTTTCTTCTCTTAATAATTCCAGTAAAATTGCGCAATATATCTTGATTTCTAATGTTTCGCTCGTTTAAATATCCTCATTTAAGCTGAATCAGAGTTCCGAGATCGCATTCTTCTATCCTTTCCGTTAATTAAAGCCAGATGGAACCATCCCGGAAGGTCGGGGGGACCGATCAATCTTCACAGATCATATTACCGCGCGCAATACCGTGAGATGGATTACATCCGACTCAAAATTTGTAGAACTTCTTCGAGTCAGGTCGTATACCACGTCGATGTATAACATTAGCATTTATATGGGCGCGCCGGCAAGATTCCACGCGCGCGAGTGGCTCGGAAGCGAAATCCGAACGGAGCGAGATCCGACGGAAGAGAGAGGTGTCGCGAGCAGAAGCGAACGGGGTAAAAAGACGGGGGTAAACGCGGCGAAGGCAAATTCCACATAGCTAGGGGGACGAGTCAACATATTTTTCAGCGTCATTCTGGAATCAACGTCGGCGTCGCGGCGTCGTCGTGGCGACACGAGGCATATCGAGCTTAAAACGTAGGGGAGCGATGCCGACATTTTTCAAAGCACGTACCGGGAGGTTGCATGAAAATTTGATTTTATCCGGTATATCATCGACTTATCATCACAGACGCAGAGTAACAAATTCCTCGCACGCAAATCCTCCGCGGAAATTTTTCTATATGAGTTCCTGCGAACGAAGAGACCGTAGCGGGATTGTAATTTTACCAAAGATACATCGTCTGCGTCCGGAAGGGAGGCGATATACAACATTTATATTAGCATTTATATAAGGGTAAAGTAACTACGCTCTTCTACGGACCTCTACGTGCTCGGAGCAAAAAAGAACAAGGGAAAAATCCACGCCGCACGATAAGTGCTCCGCCTCCTACGGCTTGCGCGATCCGCACCGAAGCGTTTCGCAGACTCAGAAAATTAAACAAACTAGGATCACAGTTACACAACGTTCTTAACGCTCAACGAAAGATATATAAAGTTGAAAATATTTTACACAAGACTTTACTCTGGGTTTACAAATGCGAAATTAGGAATATTTATTCAAGTAACGGTAGAACAATAACTCCATGGATTATATACCAACTTGGTCGGCGAGTAGAAACAAAGGTTGATCGTGAATAGAGCGCGTTAGGGTGAAAAGAGACGATGGGGAATGTGAGGAGAACGAGCGAGTTACAGGGTTGTAAAAGGTTGGAAACGCGGATTACAAATAGCAGAGTACACAATTAAGTGGTCGCCAGACCGTGACCAAAGTTTTCTCGGAAAGAGATTATCGGCTAATTATCAGTTTCCAAAAAGCGTTCCTAAAATTACAGCTACATCCGATTACCTCTTAAGTTATCCCCGAGATAATAGTCGGGGTGGTTGGCTCACTAGTTCGGTGCGCAGTGAACAAGAGAACGGAACGAGGAAGGAGCGAGGATACGTACGTGTGTTTTAGGCGCGATAAGTTGCACCCTGTACGGTGCATTATATTAACGTGTGCACATAGACGCGGTTAGCTCTGTTTCATCCACCCTCACGTGTAAGTGGTGACGAGATCCAGACACAAGTTGTAGAAAGGGGAGTTCACCGCGCCGCGAGGCATACAGTGTTACTTTATTGCTCGCGTCAAAGGCAATCTGCCCCCTCATACCCTCTTCCTATGCTCAACTCCGTTTTCCTAACGCGGTACTTTGACGATCGCGAACACGTCACGCGGGCGTTTGTAGCGTGTATAGCACCACAAATGCATTTTCGCGGTTTCACGTCGATAGTGAAATTGCTGACACGCTCGTAAAGCGTCAGTTTCCGCGAGACGCTTCTCCGTTATTCCGCACGCTCTTTTTCCTCTGATCAGACGTGGGTCAACGACGTCGCCGATCTGGTCAATGTTGTAGCATTCATAAAAAGCTCGTAAGGAAATAAAAGTTTCAGACGTTTCGTTGCTGAGAGAGAGAGGGAGAGGGGGGGAGTAAGCAGCGAAATTTCCAGCGCATATTTCATCTCCAGAAAGCATATTTTATCGAGGACGACCGTAAGTTATTCGAAAGTTCGTCCGGCAAGTTTTATCCTTCGAGAATAAATCGCAAAAGACAAATCCGTATTCCCTCTCCCCCTCCCCTCCCCCTATTCCTCATCCCTCTTTTCCTCTCTTTATTTTAGTCGCGTGACCTGGCGCGTGTAAACGAAGTTCTCGATAATTATAAAAGTTGCAAAAGAAGAAAGATGCTTGAAAAAAAATTATATCGCGCGGTCAATAAACTTCTAAAACTGAAAAAGCAATCTGTACTCTGCCTCCTTCGGTTCTATATATAAATACAAGTGCGAGGAATACAGAAGGCGGACCTTCATTTCCGCAAACAATTAAAAGCGTCGGTGAGACGTTCTCGAGATGATATCAGCGCCTTCTCCTATGGTCTCCTCTCCTGAATCCTCGGTTCCCTCTTTCCTGAGATCTACTACCGTGCTCGAATTATCGGCTCGGAGAACTCGTCCTTTTTCTTTCCCATTTCCCCCGACGGAATTATTGAGGCAAGAGAGAGGGTGGGGTGGGGTAAGAGAGGGAGGGAACTCTCCGAAACAACCACGGTTATCGCGCATTTACTCTCTCTCTTCTTGCCGCCCGTTTAATTTACTTCATCGACTTCCGGCCAGCGGCGGCGCAGCCGATCTCCCCAGCCGACTATCAGTCCTCTAAATCAAATAACATAATTTCGCTAAGGCTACCATCGGTAAGAGGAGCGATCCCTTTTCCCCAGGTCTGGCGAAATCCCACGGCCGAATTTATGGGGACTCCGTGGCCGCGACATTCGCTGTTGGCGTCTACACGCGTCTTATACGTGCGCAAGGAACCTACCTACACGCGCACCTACGTAAAATAAAGTAACACTCCTGGCACACCGGCTGAGATGGCTGTACTGCGACCTGCGACTTGTAGTTGCGATAAATTTTCCTCGGCTTTAACGGTGCTGCGCGCTGCCGCAGAACGGTATTTTCAATCCTTTATACAAGTAACAGAAAGGTGACAAAAAAAGAATAGTGATAATTCAACAACGACGCTGCTAGACGACGAGCGATGAAAGATTTTGGTCGACAAAAATAAGAAGTCGCGCGTATAACGAAATAGTATGAGAAACTTAACTCATTTATTTACAGGTTCTATTACAGGGGTAACAAAAGCCTTTTAAAGCGAGCCAGTAACTCATAATTAAATTACGTAATGGATCGCCAACCAACTCCGGTACAAAACAATATTTTCAATCTTCTATAAACAATGAAAAATTTAATATTAAAAATGATATAAATCCAACGCGTTTGTCTAGCGAAAAAAAAATTTCGATTTTATGTTGACAATTATTATTATTGATATTAAAACCTTATTTCTTCGTATATTGTTGTTACACGTATTGATTTGCGACCAGCTGTAAAAATTCACATATGGTGTCTGTAAAAATAGCTGCAATATACCGGACTTTCGGAAAATGCTCGTGGCAGCGAAAGCGAAGTTGTAACAGATTCGTAATTAAATTTCAAAATAGATTGCATTCCACCGAGGCAAAATGACATTTCCAATCTTTTATGAGGAAAAGACAATCCGAAATGCGAGAATGACAACGATTTAGTATCGAATGTTGAATAAACAAATGATTTTACGTCGACGAAACAATGACGATATTGATACGTTAATTACTTCTCACCAGTACAGTTATTATCTTTACATAAATTCGTCGCTTGGAAAAGCAAACACTTTGTTTACAAAAATAGATCGGTCCTATTGTTCAATATATCGGCCTTTCAAAGAAAGAAAAAAACATGCGAGAACGAATGCGAATAAATGCCAACTCGCACCAGATCCATAATTAAATTTTAAAATCGAATACCGGACATTTAATTGGCGATAAAACGACAATCCGAGTCTAGCAAAAAGAAATATAGAGTTCGAGAATAACAACTCAACGTGATCGTGTTCAATAAACTAAAAACACCTTCATTTAACAACAAAG